TATGGCTATAGCTAGAACTTCAAGTACCATGTTGAAAAGGTATGGAGAGAGTGGACAGCCTTGTTTTGTTCCTGATTTTAGAGGAATTGCGTTGAGTTTCTGTCCATTTAGTTTGATGTTGGCTGTTGGTTTACTGTATATGGCTTTTATTATGTTTAAGTATGTCCCTGTTATCCCAGATCTCTCCAAGACCTTTATCATGAAGGGATGTTGGATTTTGTCAAAGGCTTTTTCAGCATCTAGTGAGATGATCATGTGATTTTTGTTTTTCAGCTTGTTTATATGGTGGATTACGTTGATGGATTTTCGTATGTTGAACCATCCCTGCATCCCTGGGATGAAACCTACTTGATCGTGGTGAATGATTGTTTTGATGTGTTCTTGGATCCGATTTGCCAGTATTTTATTGAGTATTTTTGCATCAATGTTCATGAGGGATATTGGTCTGAAGTTCTCTTTCTTGGTTGTATCTTTGTGTGGCTTGGGGATCAAGGTTATTGAAGCCTCATAGAAAGAGTTTGGCAAAGACCCTTCTGCTTCTATTGTGTGGAACACTTTGAGAAGAATTGGTATAAGCTGTTCTTTGAATTTGTGGTAGAATTCTGCACTGAGGCCATCTGGACCTGGACTTTTTTTGGTTGGGAGACTTTTGATGACAGCTTCTATTTCCATAGGGGTTATAGGTCTATTTAAATTGCTTATCTGTTCTTGATTTAGTTTTGGCAAATGATAGCTGTCCAGGAAGTCATCCATTTCCTTTAAATTTTCGAATTTTGTGGAGTACAGGTTTTCAAAGTATGACCTAATGATTCTCTGGATTTCCTCAGAGTCTGTTGTTATGTCCCCCTTTTCATTTCTGATTTTGTTAATTTGCGTGTTCACTCTCTGCTGTTTGGTAAGTTTGGACAAAGGTTTGTCTATCTTGTTGATTTTCTCAAAGAACCAACTCTTCGTTGCATTGATTCTTTGTATTGTTTTCCTGGTTTCTACTTTGTTGATTTCAGCCCTCAATTTGATTATTTCCTGGCGTCTACTCCTCCTGGGGGAGTTTGCTTCTTTGTGTTCTAGAGCTTTTAGCTGTGATGTTAATTCTCTGGTATAACTGTTTTCCTGTTTCTTCATGTGAGCACTTAGTGCTATGAACTTCCCCGTAGCACTGCTTTCAAAGTGTCCCATAGGTTTGGGTATGTTGTGTCTTCATTCTCATTGAGTTCGAGGAAGTCTTTAATTTCTTTTTTTATTTCCTCTTTGACCCAGGGATGGTGCAGTTGAGCATTATTCAATTTCCATGAGTTTCTAGGTTTTCTGCACTTTGTGTTGTTGTTGAATTCTAATTTTAAGGCATGGTGGTCTGATAAGATGCATGGAGTTATTCCAATTTTTTTGTAGCTGCTGAGGTTTGATATGTTGCCAAGTATGTGGTCGATTTTTGAGAAGGTTCCATGTGGTGGTGAGAAGAAGGTATATTCTTTTTTATGTGGATGAAATGTTCTATAGATATCTGTTAATCCCAGTTGGGTCATTACTTCTATTAGACCCTTTGCTTCTTTGTTGAGTTCCTGTCTGGTATTCTTGTCTAGTGGTGAGAGTGGTGTGTTGAAATCTCCCACTATAACTGTGTGGGGCTTTAGATGAGATTTAAGTTCTAATAATGTTTCTTTAACGAATGTGGATGCCTTTGTATTGGGGGCATAGATGTTCAGGATAGACACTTCGTCTTGGTGGGTTTCACCTGTGATGAGTATGTAATGACCTCCTTCATCTCTTTTGATTGATTTTATTTTAAAGTCTAGTTTGTTAGATATTAGGATTGCTACCCCTGCTTGTTTCTTGGGTCCATTTGATTGAAAAATTTTTTCCCAACCTTTAACTCTCAAGTAATGTCTGTCTTTGAGGGTGAGGTGTGTTTCTTGTATGCAGCAGAAGGAAGGGTTCTGTCTTCGAATCCATTCTGCTAGTCTGTGTCTTTTTATGGGTGAGTTAAGGCCATTAATATTGAGGGATATTAATGACCATTGATTGCTCATCCTTCTTCGATTTGCGATGGTTGTTGTTGGTGGAATTATGGGTGGAATTTCGCCCCTTTGTTCTTTTGGCTGTTGGTAGAGAGGGATTCTCTAATGCTTATGTTTTTCTGGTTGTAGTTAGCTTCCTTGGGTTGGAGTTTTCCTTCCAAAATTTTCTGTAGGGCTGGGTTAGTGGACACATATTGGTTGAATCTAGTTTTGTCATGGAATATCTTGTTTTCTCCGTCTATAGTGATTGAGAGCTTTGCCGGGTATAGTAGTCTGGGCTGGCATCCATGGTCTCTTAGTGTAGGTAGAATATCTATCCAGGACCTTCTGGCTTTCAGAGTTTCCATGGAGAAATCAGGTGTAATTCTGATAGGTCTGCCTTTATATGTTACTTGACCTTTTTCCTTAGCTGCTCTTAATATTCTTTCTTTATTCTGTATGTTTGGGGTCTTGATTATTATGTGGCGAGGGGATTTTTTTTGTGGTCCACTCTATTTGGTGTTCTGTAGGCTTCTTGTACCTTCATTGGCATGTCTTTCTTAAGGTTGGGAAAGTTTTCTTCTATGATTTTGTTGAATATGCCTTCTGCCCCTTTGAGGTGGATTTCTTCTCCTTCTTCTATACCTATTATTCTTAGGTTTGGTCTTTTCATGGTGTCCCATAATTCCTGGATGTTTTGTGTTAAGGATTTGTTGGATTTGAGGTTTTCTTTGGTTGATAAATCCATTTCTCCTAATGTATCTTCAACACTTGAGATTCTCTCTTCCATCTCTTCTATTCTGTTGGTAATGCTTGTATTGGTAGTGCCTGACTGTTTGTCCAGCTTTTCTATTTTCTGCCTTTCTTCAGATTGTGTTTTTTTTAGTGTCTCTATTTCAGTTTTCAACCCTTGCAGCATTTGCATTGCTTCTTGCAATTTTCTGTTTATCTGTTCGTCCGTTTGTTGCCTTTTATGAATTTTTTGGTTTGTTCTTTCTTCCATTTCTTGCATTTTTTGGTTTGCTTTTTGTTCCATTTCTTGGATTTTGTGCTTTGTTTCTTCTTCCCTTTCCTGCCTTTTTTGGTTTGTTTCTTCCTCCATTTTTTTATTTTTTGCTTTGTTTTTTCTACCATTTCTTGCATTTTTTGCTTTGTTGCTTCTTCCATTTCCTGCCTTATTTGGTATGTTTCTTCTTCTAATTCTTGCATTTTTTGCTTTGCTTTTTCTTCCATTTCTTGCATTTTTTGCTTCATTTCTTCTTCCATTTCGTGCCGTTTTTGGTTTGTTTTTTCTTCCAATTCTTGCATTTTTTGGTTTGTTTTTTCTTCCATTTCTTGCATTTTTTGGTTTGTTTTTTCTTCTATTTCTTTGAGGGATTTTCCAATATCCTCTTTTAGGGCCTCTATCATTTTCATGAAAGTGCTTTTAAGATCGTTCTCTTCTGCTTCCTTCGCGTTTGAATATTGGGGTCTTGCTGGTGTGGAGTCTCTAGAATCTGGCGGTGTCATATTTGTTTTTCTGTTGCTGACTGTGTTTTTGTATTGTCTCTTTCCCATCTCTTCTTTTAGTGGGTGCAGAAAGAGACCCTTCCTGGTCTGGGGACCAGAGTTCCCTTTGGTGGGTGCTAGTAAGTCCAGTAATCTGGTGGTTCTTCTATGCCTTGTCCAAATGCTGGTCCGTGGGTAGAGAAGAAGAACAGGAATCTGGGGCGCTTAGCCTCCTACCTGGTCCCCTGGACCCTATGCTGGGTCCTGTTGTACCTGATCCGGAACAGCTACTCCCCTGGTCTCCCTGGTTCCTGTAGTTTCCTGGTCTCTTTGGTGGGAGAGAAGATCTGGAGTCTGGGGTGCTTGGCTCCCGCCGGGATTGGGAGCTCTGTGCAGTTCCCAGGCGATCTGCAGGCTCTGGAACTCAGGCTGGGAAGCTGGCCTGTTTACCTGATGATGCCAGAGGGACAGCTACTTCCCTGTACTCCCAGCCTCCTCTCCTTTCCTGGAATCGTTGGTGGGAGAGAAGATCTGGAGTCTGGGGTGCTTTGCTCCCGCCGGTATTGGGAGCTCTGTGCAGTTCCCAGGCGATCTGCAGGCTCTGGAACACAGGCCGGGAAGCTGGCCTGTTTACCTGATGCTCCCTCCGGGATTGGGAGCTCTGTGCAGTTCCCAGGCGATCTGCAGGCTCTGGAACACAGGCCGGGAAGCTGGCCTGTTTACCTGATGCTCCCGCCGGGATTGGGAGCTCTGTGCAGTTCCCAGGTGATCTGCAGGCTCTGGAACACAGGCCGGGAAGCTGGCCTGTTTACCTGATGCTCCCGCCGGGATTGGGAGCTCTGTGCAGTTCCCAGGCGATCTGCAGGCTCTGGAACTCAGGCCGGGAAGCTGGCCTGTTTACCTGATGATGCCAGAGGGACAGCTACTTCCCTGTACTCCCAGCCTCCTCTCCTTTCCTGGAATCGTTGGTGGGAGAGAAGATCTGGAGTCTGGGGTGCTTTGCTCCCGCCGGGATTGGGAGCTCTGTGCAGTTCCCAGGAGATCTGCAGGCTCTGGAACACAGGCCGGGAAGCTGGCCTGTTTACCTGATGCTCCCGCCGGGATTGGGAGCTCTGTGCAGTTCCCAGGCGATCTGCAGGCTCTGGAACTCAGGCCGGGAAGCTGGCCTGTTTACCTGATGATCGCTATCCCACTCTTGCTCCCTCTACCAATGAATACTTCCTCTCCTTTAGGGCTGGACTCAAGTATGACTTACTTAGAAAGCCCGACCGTCCTCCATGCTTTGTCACATGCCGTCACTTCAGAGTCTTTAAAATGATACAGATTATGTAGTTTTGTATCAACTCCTAGGAGTGTGCCAATAGGGAGGCAGAACATTGTTAGAGGTACCTTTGAATCGCTGGCCTCTAACATAGTCTCTGATGTATAGGAAGCAGTTTAGACATAGCGAATACTTAAATAAAGAATCTTCCGGCAGTAGGAAAGCCTAGAGAGACCAAGGAGGGGAAGGAAAAAAAATGAATTTGGTTTTCAGTTTATTATATTTGGGGATACCAGGAGGACATTCCGATAAAGGTGCTCCACTTCTAAGTCAGCTCTAGCACTCAAGTTTCAAGTTTTTCGGACTTTGCCTGTGTCTTGAACTGATCCTATGCGGATGCATTCTGGATGGGATCTGGATTCAAGCAGCGTGTGGTAGAAAGGGATCCACACCTAACTGGGGATGAAGGAAGAGTTAATGTGCTTAGAAACGTGGAAAGGAAAACAACAGACACAGGGCCGCACTCAGACACTGTACTTAGTGCTGACCAAGCTCGTTGTGGTTAGTGGAAATTTCTAGAGTAGAGCTAGAGCTGTGGCCATGGCTGTGGGAGAAGCTTCCAGAAACAAAGCTGCAGCCTTTTTGAGACCCACTGCCCACCTGGAGCCACACAGGAGGGAGATGGAGAGGTAAGTATCCTGACCTCTGCCCTGCCTCAAACTCACCACTATTTCCACTGGTCTAAACCAACTGGGAATCTGTGGCTAAGAGAGCCGATTGTGTGCCCTCCAGAAGTCAGGCTTCGGGAATATAGGACAGGTAGAAAAGGGCAGAGATGGGGTTAGGGAAAACTGAAACTCTAGTACAAACTGCCCAGTTCCCACTGTCCTGGCTGTTTTCAGCCTTTCTGTTTCCTTTAATGTAGTGTGTGTGTGTGTGTGTGTGTGTGTGTGTGTGTGTGTGTGTGTGTGTGTGTTCACATACATATGGATGTTGGGGGACAACTGGAGTTCCTCTGACACCCCCCAACAATCTCTTGCTGGTTTGAAACTCACCAGTTAGGCTAGGCTGGCTGGCAGCAGGCCTACAGATGTGCCTTCTCTTTAACACTAGGATTACATGTGTGCACCACCACACATGACTCTTTTAACATGGGTTTTGGGAATTAAACTCAGCCTCACACTTTACTGATGAGAGATCTCTCTAGCCCTTTAGTCATGACTCTTGAATCAGTGCTAGTACAAGTTGCAGGGCTTTAAGCTGGTGCTGGGTTAGCCATCAAGGGATTCAAGGGCAGAGATACCTGGATTGGGAGACACTCAAGGTCAGAGGTGCCAACACCAAGCATGAGTCTGAGGAAGGAAGTTTTGATGATGGGTCAGGAGCTTAGGAAGAATAAGAGGAACAGACAAGATGGGAGAGGGCTGGAGAAACAGAGGGGGCTGATGGGAGAACATTGTTGGGGCAGAGTGGGCTGATGGGAAAGAGCTCTAGGGGTAGTGCAAGTTGATGGGACACAGCTCTTGGGGCAGAGGGGGCTGATGGGAGAGAGATCTTGGAGCAGAGGGGGCTGGAGAGAGTGAGCCAGAGTGGCAGAGGGCTGACTCAAATGAAGTGGCATCAATGAGGGGCTCATGGCACTGCTGTGCTCTTACAAGACTCGTCCTTGTGGGTGCCACTGAGAGGTGAGTTATGCCACGCCAGTCCCAACACTACATTTGTCACTTTCCACAGACTGCTTTCCATTATCCCCACGATTTATAAATATCTACCTATAGCCAAACCTCTCTCTTCTGGCACAGGAATTGGCTGCCTACTGGGGGCGGTGGCTGAGGTCATCGGAAGATTTCCTTGGCCTCTGCCTCTGCTCCCTGGAATGCACCTAGACCCATCCTTGGTCCCATGTCTCATCTCTCTCAAGTCCTCTGAGTCTTTCTCCTCATCCTTGGTCACTTTACCTTCCGACTCAAAAGGAGACTATTGTCTGCTCTCCAAACACTTTCTTTCAGCTCACTCTCTCTATGGGGGAAGCACAGTTATAATTAGCCCAAGAAAGTCCTAAGCATGCCAAGCATTTCCTTGTCCAGGCATCACAATCCTAGATAAAGAGGTTTAGAGTTGCAGCTGCCCATTCTTCCAACTGCTCCTTGCTTAACGCCCTGAGTCTGGGCGTTTTCCACTTCACTAAAGTGTACTGTGAAAGATCTCCAGGGACAGCCAGTAAGCTCCTCTAAGACCTTTTCTGTCTGAGCCATGGATTCCTGGAGAGACAGCTGTAAGCAAAGGCTTTCTTTCCCCTCTAATACCCCCCAGTCATGGGCTGCTGCATCTCTGCGCATGCTTCCACAGCCCCGCGGCACCAGTGCAGAGTGTGCCCTCCGAGCCTGGACTCTCTGGCTTCAAACCCTGGTGACATTCTTGTGTGTGCAATACTGGGCAATCCCTTGCTCCTAAGAAGCCTGCTGTGTGGAAATGGAAATGGTTCCCATCTCTTCAGATTGCACGTGGCATCAAGGGCACAATGACTACAAACACTCTGCAGGCTGCCTGACTTGTGAGAAGAGTCCAGAGACAGCTGACCGTGGCTTTATCTCTCTCCTCCTGCTGCCGATACATTTTCTTCCATCTACACATCATTTCCTAGATGTTATCATTTGAATCGGGAACATCTCTCACCCGCTATGTTTTGCAGCTAAATGTGTGCATATGACCAAAACCGTCCTTCTCAGCTACGTGCTTATGAAGGCTGGTAGTCTTTAGGAATGAGACCTGGTTCCAAAGCACGTAGGGGGTGGGGTGGGGTCCAGGCTTGTGAGGCTTCTCCCCGGCCCTGGCTCCCAGAGTGCTTTCTGCTTCCTACAGGATGTGAATGGCCTCTGCCACATGCTCTCACCACCGAGCTCTTCCCTGCCCTCCTGTCTAGAATGCATTGGAAACTTTGCTCTCCTAAGTGGCTTCTGCCAGGCGTTTGTCTCAGCAACACAAAGAACCCAACAAACTGGACAGGGGCTGTGCTTCTGCTTTGCCGATTTTAATCACACCATCGCCTCCTCCCAAACCCCCCCTCCCTTCTTCACACCATAAATACTTCTCAGCACTTGGGCAGGTGGGTCTCCATGAGTTTGAGGCCAGCCTGGTCTACAGTGGGAGTGCCAGGACAGGCTCCAAAGCCACACACAGAAACCCTGTCTCAGAAAAACCAAAATCCCCAAACCCAACAAAATAACCTCTCTGGGGCCTCACCCACTTGCTCCCTTTCCCTGCGAGTTCTCATGGGTTCCTCAAGTCAAGGGTGATCCCTCTCCAGTGAAGTCTCCTAATCTTTTCTCTTTCTTCTAGAATAACCGGCGTTTATATGTGTTTAATTATGCTGTTTGTCTTCCTTACAAGGCATTGAATAGTCACTTAAGTAGATTCAGGACCATGTGTTGCCACCCATTTACTTAGTTTCAGAGAATGTCATTTCTAAGTCTACAGATGATCTCCAGAGAAGAGTGGACAGTATTGACTTTGGGAATCCTGAAATAAAATAACATGGGAAAGGCAAAATATGCACACATAACACAGACTCTTTACATGGTTTTATAAATAAATAAATTAATTAATTTTACTTCCTGACTGAGCTTCTTCCCTCCTCTTCTCCCGCTGTCTCCCTCCTCTCCTCACCCCCATATCACCCCTCCTCAGTAATTTCCCAGAGAGCTGCAGGCTTCCAACGGGCATCAGCAATGCATGGCTTATCAGAGTTGCCGTAAGAACAAGTACCTCGTCCTGAATTCAGGATGGGCAAATCAATCCAGCATGAGGATTAGACTCCCATGAGCCAGCCAGAGCATCAAGGTAGCTCCTGCCCCCATTTCCAGGAGTCCCACACAGATCAAGCTACACAACTGTCACATATGTACAGAGGACCTAGGTTGGTCCCACGCAGGCTCGCTGGTTGTTGGTTCAGACTCTGGGTTCCCATGAGCCAGGCTAGTCATTTCTGTGAATTTTCCTCAGATGTCCATGATTCCCCTGTCACCTACATTCTCTCCTCCTTCTCCTCAGCAGGACTTTTGGCACTGGATATCACAACAAAAGGCTAGGGAAATGCATAGGAATCTGAGTGTAACGTCAGCCATAGAGTCAGCCATAGAACAACTTCTATGGTCACAGATGTCAGATGTCAAAGCAGATTAGAAGACTAGACAGGAGGAAGCCTGATGTTGGGAGGTCAGTAAACAGTCCAGGGACCCTAGATCTGGCTCAGTAGGAAAGGAGAAGGCAAGAGAGGTGTTGGGACAGATCCTGCAGTCAGCCTTTGGTAAACGTGAGTTAAGGAAAGGAGTTGTCAGAGTGAAAACAGTCTTACAGGAACGGAGAAGACGGCTCAGTCAGTAAAGTGTCTGAGAGAACACACTGATCTTTCACCCTTAAACTCACCGTTATTTAACAGGAACATCTGCACTTGATTAAGATGCCTACCTGACGTGTACACTGAGCATTTCTCACTCCACTACTACTTGTCATGGTGGCAGATTTTCTCAGTGTTTCCTAATCTGAGGTGTCAAAACACTGTCATGCTTTCTTCCTGCCTGCTGTGCTGTGAATATAGTCTCCCATAGCCCCCCAAGGTAAAACACCAGTTGTTGAAATTCAAACCCCATTGTGAGGTGTCAGGAGAGTGGAAACAATCTATGATGTTTGCAGATAGGATCTGGAAGGCAGTGTGGCTTAGATAATGTCATCAGATTAACTTCCTGAGGAGCATTGAGACCAGAAGGGACACCCACCTCTCTCTGTCTTATCATGTGATCCCTGTGCCACCTCAAGTCTCTGCTAGCAAGAAGGGCATCACCAGGGTGGTACTCTGACCTTGGTCCTTCTGACTGTGAGCCAAGTTAAACTTTTTTCTTGTTTTGTTTTGTTTTTTTTTTTGAGTCAGGGTCTCACCATGTAGCCATGGCTGGCTAGAAGAGATCCTCCTGCCTCTAACCTCATGAATGCTGGGATTAAAGGCTGTGCCACCATGCCAGACTAAAACTTCTTTTCTCTATAATTCACCTCTTTACAGACTCAGCCCTCGGTGTTGCATAACTAGCATCAGAAAATGAATGACTGGGGAATCCATCTCAGTCTCCCCTTCTCATTGATTCATCCCGAATCACAACTCTTCTCTGTGTGCCCCTGTGCCATTTCTACAGAGCCATCCATACTTACGGTCACAGGTCTACTCCAGAAGTTGAGAACTCTCAGGTATACATTTCTGGGTTGCAAACTACACATCCATCCACCTAACTGGAATCTTCAAGACTCATTGGCATGCTAAATGCATGTCACTGGCTTTTGGCACAATCAAGAGGCAAACTTAAGGTCCCTTCACCCCAGTTAACATCTGTTTGTCACCACACCCTTTCTGTTCTTATGTGGATAGAGTCTGAGCACTATAAGGGGAGGTATTGAGTAAGTTTTACACTAGACTCCAAGCTCAAATGTGTGTTTTACTTTCCTGACCAAATCAACTTGGTCCCAAAACTGGGTATCCTGTTCAGAGGAGCACTGGCCAACTTGTATTGATAGGATCCTGTCCTCAGAGCCAACCAGATGAGCACTGTTGCTATTAACACCTCCAGCAGGAGAGTCATGCCCTCATCACCTGTGGCTGAGAAGAATCCCTTGCAAGCAATGTTAGTAGGAGTATGATGAAAGCAATCTTGCATTCCCAGTGATTTCTAGACATCTTGCAGCTAAGCTCACTTGGGAAACTCTACACCTGGCTGCCTTCTGTCCCTAGAGTCTTTTGCCTTCTGAACTGGCCATCTAAACAAGCGATTCTAGAATAGTCTCCCAAGCATATTGCTTATTTATTTGCAGTATGGCGAGTTGTTGTTTTTAGACAGTGTCTCAAGTAGCATGATCTGGCCGTGTATTCCTCACATGGCCAAGAATGACCTTGGATCCTAAAAGCCATTCTAACTTCTTTTTATTATTAACTCAGATACATTTCTTGATTTCCCCAAATCGTGAACTTTTTCATTTTCAAGTAGTTCATCCATAGACTCTCTTGAATTAGTATGGAAAGACTAATATCATCGTGTAATGAAAATTTTACTTCTCATCCATTGTGTGGTTTTTATTTCTTTTCCTAAGACCTAAATTGTTAAATGTTTGTCACAGTTCCTTCTCTAAGGCAAATGCTTCTGATTCATCTCTGTGAACATAGTCTGGTGTGTGTTTCTGGCTGAGGCCTCTTATCAAGTTAAGGGAACTCCCATGCAATTTTAAAAAAGAAATCATAAATGTCATCTGTTATCAATTTTTAAGTGTGTTGAGATCACCATATTTTTCACACAGATACTGTTAAGACTGATGGGCCCATGTACATAGAGGAGCTGCTCTGTGTCTTTCCCTACAGTACCCTTGACTCAGATTATTTTCAAGTAATGCATTATCTTTGTATTACTAATAAAGATAGAAGAACACCTCCTGTGTTTTCCTCACTGGAATAGTCTACAGAAGATGAGGTCATATATTTCTTAAAGGTTTTCCAGGATTCATTATAAAAGTAACTGGACCCTGTTGTGGAATATTATTTAACTATGTAAAGATGCGCTAAATTTGTTTGTGCAGTGGAATAATACTTTAACTGCATAAAGGTGTTTTGCATTTGTTTGTGCTGCATTTGTTTAAAGATGTGTGTTTAATTATGTAAAGGTGTGTTGCTTTGTTTCACCTTGCCTGCCTAAGACACCTGATTGCTCTAATAAAGAGCTGAATGGCCAATAGCTAGGCAGAGAAAATATAGGTGGGGCTGGTGGGCAGGGAGAATAAATAGGAGGAGAAATGCAGGCTTGAGAGAAGAATGAGTGAAGAGGAAGGGAGAATGAGGGGAATGCCCAGGATCATCCATGCAGTTGCTAGCCAGGCATACAGGAGAAGCAGTGAAAGTAAGACATGCAGAAGGAAAGAAAAGTAAAAAGCCCCAAGGCCAATGGTAGATAAAAGAGGGCAGGTGAAGTTAACAGAGCCATCCAGAAAAGATCCTAAGCTAGGCCAAGCATTCATAATCAATATTAAGTCTCAGAGTCATGATTTGGGATCTGGTTGGGAGAGAGTAGATTTTAATTTATGTTGTGACTCTAAGCTTTAAAAGATATTTTTTGAGAGATTCTCTTGTTGTTTCTTCCATCTCCCTTCCTTCCTTCCTCCCTTCCTTCCTTCCTCTTCCTCCTTCCTCCCTCCCTCCCTCTCTGCATCCTTTCTTCCTCCCCCCTCCATTTCTTCCTCCCTCTCTGCTTCCTTCCTTCCTTCCTTCCTTCCTTCCTTCCTTCCTTCTTTCCTTCCTTCCCTTATTTATTTATCCATTGTTGTTGCTTTTCGACACAGGTTCTTATTCTATGGCTTAATTTGTCCTGAAACTCAATGCAATCCTCCTGCCTAAGCTTTCAGAGTGCTAGAATTATAGACATGGTCCACGGTGCCTCATTAACAGTCTTGCTGTTTTCCAATATATTTTTAATTTAAATTAGAAACATGTTTGCTTCACATGTCAATCCCAGCTCCCTCTCCCACCCCTCCTCAATTGCCCCTCTACCGGCCCCCCTAGTCCCCCACCCAATCCCACACCGTTCCCCAGGGAGGGTGAGGCCCTCCATTTGTTCATGAATCTAAGCTCTCAAATTCTTTGACAAAATTAACTTTTCTGGTTATTCTCCCTACTCTGAGCGTCTTCAACACAAAGGTCTCATTATTTGCCCACTACTCTTTGAAAGTGTTTGTCAAGGCCATGAAAGACAGAGAAGGCTGAAGCCTGTCACAGATGGGAGGAGACCAAGGAAGCATCAAACAGATGCAAGGTGAGGCTTAGGTACAGTCTCAGGACAGAAGCAGCAGGTGGACGGAGCAATGAGTGGAGTCTGAGGAGCATTAGTTAATGGTATCACACCAGTGTCCACTTCCTGGTGTTGGCCATTCTGTTAAGATTATGTAAGAGATTATAATCAGGGGAAGCTAATAGAAGCACGTATTGGAATTTGTCTAGCTTTTTTCCCCCAGCTTTTCTGTTATGTCCAAATAACTTTGAAAATAATGAGAGGTGGGTAGACAAAAAGAAACACACACACACACACACACACACACACACACACACAGATTGTTCTAGTATCTGTGTAGAAACCGACTATGAGAGGGAAGAGCTGAGAAGAACAGAGCTTGGGGAAAGATGTTTGACCAGAGTGGAAGCAGAAGCCATGATGAAACTTTCTAAGTTTAAAAGTGATCACATTTCTACCTTGGTCACTTCTGGTCCATGACAATGCAGGGTGTCTGCTTCAATCAGTTTGACATTGGAGTTTTCAAGACAAGGTCTCTCTCTGAACCTGGAGCTCCTCAGGCTAGACTAGCCAGTGAGCTCAGGGATTTGCCTGTGTCCAACTCCCCAGTGGAGACATATGCTGCTATGCCCAGCTTTTCACATGCATGCTGGGAATCTGAACTCAGGACGCCAAGCTTGTATCAATATTATGCCTTGCATGTTTTATTCTATCATAGCATTTGTTGTTTGTACATTGTAGCATTTTCATGGTTGCATACAATGCATTTTATACAACTCACTCTCTTCATCACCCCTGTCTTGTCACACCACTCCCCTTCACATTGATCCTTCAACCCCGTCCCCCCATAGTCCCACTGATACTTGGATATCATCTTCTCTTCGTTTTGTTTGTTTGTTTGTTGTTTTGTTTTTCAAGACAGGATTTCTCTGTGTGGCCCTGGCTGTCTTCGAACTAGCTCTGTAGACAAGGCTGGCCTTGAACTCACAATGATGCACCTGCTTCTGCCTTCCGAGCACTGGGATTAAAGGTATGCTGCCTATTGTTTTTTATCTAGATTCTGCATGAGAGAAATCTAGACTTTCTCTGCATAATGAGAGAAAATGTGTGGTATTTGTCCTTCTGAGTTTGGCGTTTTTATTCCTGTGATATTTTCTATTCCATCCATTCTCCAGCAGATGACATAGCTTCATTCTGAATAACATACATCCATTCCACATCTCCTGTGTCAATGGTGTGGTGACAGACACCTAGGCTGACTGTATACTGTGGCTTTGGTGAACAGTGCCACAGTGGATGCACTATGCAGGCGTATCTACCAAGTGTGGTCCTTCAGGTTCCTGTCCAGATGTGGGATTGCAGCATCGTGTGGCAGATCCATTTCAGTTTTCTGACTCATCTTCAAGTCAGTTTCCACAGCAGCTATGCGTGTTGACATCCTATAAGTAATGGAGCAGCTCCTTCCCCCAGGTCCTCACCAGCTTTGCTATTTGTTCTCTTAGCTGTGGCTGTTGTGATCGGAATGCAATGGAATCCTGTGGTTTTTTATTTTCATTCCTTTTATGTCCGATGACACTGAACGTCTTTCATTATTTGTTAGCCATTTGTACTCCTTTTGAGAACCTTCTGTTCAATTCATCTTCTATCACATCACATCCTGGAGTACTAGAGCTCTACCCAGAAATCCCTTGCCTGGACCTATATCTCGAGGTTTTTTTCTCCTAGAACCTCCCACATTTTACACTAATATCTTTGATCCATTTTGAGGTGACTTTAG